ATTTTTCGGCGAGAAAACGGCTAACTCAGAAATTAGCAAAGCTGGGAGGATGAAATTCTCAGGAGACTTTCCTAACCCACGTACGACTTGAAGTTATCAAATTCATCCCCCAGGCATGCGCGGTTCTCACTTGCGACCCTGCAAATTTTTTGGCGGGAAAGTGGCTAACTCGGGAACTAGCACAGCTGGAAGGCTGAAGTTTTCAAGGTACGTCTCTAGTATATGTGCAACTAAAACCTTTCAAATTCAGCCCCCAGTGGTGCGTAGTTCTCAAGTACGGCCCTGTGAGATTTTTCGGCAGGAAAATGGCTAACTCGGAAACTGGCAAAACTGGGAAGCTGAAATTTTCTGGGAATGTTCCTAGCCCATGTATGACTTAAAGTTATCAAATTCAGCCCCAGACGTGCGTGGTTCTCGTGTACAGACACATAAATTTTTGGCAGGGAATTTTCTCACTGAACGACTGGCCATTTTCAAAAAACGACCGCTAAACGGAAATTGTTTATTTTCTTTTATGCAAAATTTATGATCATTTACGGTATTGAGCGCACAAGATAGGTGTGAAGAAACAATCACTCGTGCAGTTAACCTATTTACTTCAAGTTTGGTGCAAAAACGCATGGTCGCACCAGCTCGGCTGGTACTTTCGAGCCTGAGTTTGCATGAAGCCCGGTCGTCTTTCCGGCAAACGCTCGATCTTCGAAAAAATGCAAATTTCCAGTTCGTTGAAAAGTGAAAATGTTGCTAGAGCGGTCGTTTTTCAAAAAATCCAAGTATGCAAATGAAATAAATGTTCATTTACATATTTGGAAAAGGACGATTCGTTCTCTGCGAAACGCATTTGTTTCTGGTTTTTCGGTAAAGTTGAATATTTCTCATGCCCACTTGCAGGGAATTTCACCTCCCAGCAGAACTAAGATCGCACTTGAATGTAGAATATCTCAGTCAGATTTCAGCCTCTCAGGTTAACCAGTATGCGGAATATCCACTTCTCTACAAATATCTTTGAAATGCCCAAAGTCATGGCACAAATGCAAATCGATACTCATTTTAGGTACATGTTCCCCCACATATGGGCGACAAACATGCTGACAAAGTTTCAGCCCAAATTTGGCAAGTTTTCGAGTTAGCACAGTACAACTTGCAAACTTTAACGTGGTCGTACGCGCAGCACAAGCTTGCGCGACAACTGAATTTGAAATTTTTAGCTCGCGCATGCACAGAGAATATCCGTGCAGAGTTTCAGCTTTGCACTTTGCTTGGTTGCAAAATCGTTTGTCGCCGAAGAAATCTGCATATTTTTTTCGGCGACCCGTACGCGGGGTCTCAGTTCCTGTGGGGAAGGTCGTAAAACAAGGGGGTGACGCACGGGGTAAGAACGTATACCCAAAATTCCAGCCTCCCAGCTTTCCTGGCTGCTGAGATGAAAGTGGATGGCAAAATGCACTCGCTTCCAAACACGATACACACACCCACACACAGACAAAGACAGCCTCTTGACAATATGCGTTTTTGCTGCCGCTATAGCCGAACTTTTCACTCGCAAACGGCGCGATAATAATTCATTAAACCCAAACGTTCATTGACAATCTCATCTGTGGGCTATCTGGAAAAAGCTAAAACTTGTGGCGTAAAATCTATTGGAAAATAAGCCGGATAATTGATGGATTGTTTTTCTGCAAAGCGCTGCTACAGCCAGTAAAAACGCATATTGTCGAGAGGCTGTCTTTATCTGTGCGTGGGTGTGTGTGCATGCGTTTTTGCTGCTATAGCGCTACAGCGGTGCACAGCAAAAACGCGTAAAAATGAATATTTGCATTCTCTTAGCTTTCAACACGAACGCTTGAATGACAT